TCTATTGTTTGGTATTTAATGCTTTTTGTCTGGTAATTAAAGTTTTATTTGTCTGGTAATTAAAGTTCTATTTGTCTTGTAGTTAAAGTTCTATTGTTTGGTTATTTAAATGCTTTTTGTCTGGTAATTAAAGTTTTATTTGTCTTGTAGTTAAAGTTCTATTGTTTGGTTATTTAAATGCTTTTTGTCTGGTAATTAAAGTTTTATTTGTCTGGTAATTAAAGTTCTATTTGTCTTGTAGTTAAAGTTCTATTGTTTGGTTATTTAAATGCTTTTTGTCTGGTAATTAAAGTTTTATTTGTCTTGTAGTTAAAGTTCTATTGTTTGGTTATTTAAATGCTTTTTGTCTGGTAATTAAAGTTTTATTTGTCTGGTAATTAAAGTTCTATTTGTCTTGTAGTTAAAGTTCTATTGTTTGGTTATTTAAATGCTTTTTGTCTGGTAATTAAAGTTTTATTTGTCTTGTAGTTAAAGTTCTATTGTTTGGTTATTTAAATGCTTTTTGTCTGGTAATTAAAGTTTTATTTGTCTGGTAATTAAAGTTCTATTTGTCTTGTAGTTAAAGTTCTATTGTTTGGTTATTTAAATGCTTTTTGTCTGGTAATTAAAGTTTTATATGTTTGGTTATTATAGTGCTCTAGTAATTAGAGTTCTCTTTTTCTGTTCATTAAAGTTATGGTTGTCTAGTTAAGTAATAAAAGTTCTATTTGCCTGGGAATTTAAGTGCTATTTGTTTAGTACTTAAAGTTCTACTTGCCTTGTTTTTAAAGTTTTAATTTTGTGGTAAAGCTCTGATAATTAATGTTTTCCTTAAAAAAAGTGTTATTTGGGCTTTATGAATGGGCCTTATGAATGTAAAAGTGTCACTTGAAACTCTGATAACAACAATTATATAAGTGAAAAGAGAGAAATTGAAAATCCAATTTACATTATACAATCACTGATAAGAGTTTTAACAGAAGCATTACTTAAATTAGAGTAATTTACAGAAAACAGAAAACTAAATGCATCTGAAAAGCTTTTGAGTGCAGAAAGAATGGCTTAGAAATTTCAACTCGCAATTGGAAACACATTGTTATAACTTTTACAACATGTATTTTCTCAGGAAATTGGGATTGCATCAAATGAGATATGACAAAATTGGAATTTTTCATCAGGCAGTCAAAAGTAAGTCTTAAAAGGGATTGTAAAGAGGTTCCCTACATTATTTATATGTATCAGGGACATTGATAGCATCAATTTACACCATTCTTATTTTCAATCGGATGTCTATGGCTCCTACAATTTCACTAAAACTATGATGACATAACCTTTTGCTCTTTGAAATAGTAACATCATAGTGATAGTTTTAGTGGAACCACTGGTGTCTGATCGAAAAATTGGATTCCATCAGTGTCCCCAATACACAAATTTTTTTTTAGAAAATCTCTTTGCAATCCTTTTAATCTACAGCTGAGACATTCTACTGGTAATTCAATGAATTTGAACACCCTATCATAGTTGGTACATTGTACATTGTATGAATTCTAGCATTATTTACCATAAGTTTATTTAAAAACATTGTTCCCTGATTTTAAACTTGTGTAGGTGCTTTACTTTAAGGACTAATGAAATATGAAGTATTGTAAATGGGTTGAAATAGTTAACAATACTATGTTTGATGTATTTTGAGGAGTTTAACCTTGACACTCACAATAGGATTTAGGCAATACTTATTGATATATCAGGTGGCCCAGAAAAAACAAAAAAGAGGGTTTAAACCTATGAAGATATTTTTTTTGGAAAGAATATTCTGATGGTAGCTTTGATACTTTAGGAATAATCCTGAAATGATTAATCCATTTTTTCTGGGCCGCGCAATCTGTAAGAGACTCAAATTAGAGTAGCAGCTGTTGAATAAAATGAAGTACAGGAACTCAATTTAAAGGCAATCAATTTTAAACCTACTTAATATGAACCATGTTGGATACATTTAATTGATTAGGTGTTTCTTGTTTTTTCCTGAGAACAATTTGATTGTTTTTCTTGCTCATGAATTATTTATATTACATGACAGAAAGTTTGTACTTTAAAATAGCATCAAATGAAACAGCTGGGCTCTGTGATCTATATAGTCAACTTAAATGAAACAAAAAGTGCAAAAAGGTTTTGTTTGTAGTTTGGTTAATTGGTAGACATAATCACACTTCATAATTGTTAAATGAACAAGTATTTCTCAGCTAAACACCTCTTAATTCAAATTATATTGAATGTACGTCATTATTTCTGTGATTAGTGACCTCATGGCACAATGTTCTAGCTGATGTTCTGATGTCTAGTTAGTTTGCAATGTACAGAGGCTCAGCTGAACTTTGGCTGTATTTGTTTCCCAGTCGCAGCTGGTGGTTATCCATTGTTTAAATAACATGGCTGTCAAGGAATAGGAATGCACACACAAAATCCCCCATAGGGAATGATTGATTTCACATTGCTCTGCTTTGCTTATATGTGTATGCCTGATTGCTTTGCCAGCTCTGTCTGTAGTGTGAACATGTTTTAAGGCTCTAATGACTTTCAGAAAATAACATCAGAAGATTGTGGTATAAGAGATACGTTAATTATCAAATGATATCGTTAATGATGTCAAATAAAAAGAGCTCAATTTAAACTTCTTAATCTTTTCCATATAATCATCAACATTGTTTTCAATCTGGCAAACAAAGTTAAATATATGTACATAGCAATCAGCTTATGTGACATCTCAGCTATCAAAATTTTCAACTTTTTTTCTCTTTTATTTGGGCTTGATGCATGTTTAAGAATCTTTAAAAAGCCAACTCATGTGGAAGAAAGTTTCAAGATAATAGAAGCAGCAAGATATCCCTTCTCTCTTGGGACATAAATATGCAGTTTTTTTCTTTATATTGTGATATCATTTTGTTTTGTCTTCCTATTATTCTACAATATTTTTTCATTTATTACTCTTCCAAAGAGGATACAAATATTTCTAAATGTAGCATGAAAATTAACTCACATGAGTACTTGATATTCAAGTAACATTGATGCAATTGACGTGATTGAATTTTATTTACGAGTATGCCCCTGATTGAACAAATGTAATGTGTGAATATAAAGATTACAGATTACTAAAAAAAATCATATGATGAATATCCTTAAGAATGGGCCAAATGTCATGGCATCTGACAAATCAATCATTAGCAAAGAAATAAAACTAAGGTTTCTAGGGTGCTGCGGATTGTGGCATATTAACACTGAGCATCATCTGCAAATATAGTTACATTTACTTTTAAACATGAATGGCATGAATAAGAAACTGAATCGCAAAATTGCACCAACAAGGCTCATTTTTGTCACATCCATTGAAGACAAATTTCTGTGAAGTTGATTTTTGTCCACTTCACTTGATTTATAAAAAAAAAGACGGCTTAGGAATCAGTTAAGTTTTCACTACCACAGACATTTCCAAATATAGTTAGATTGATACAGTTAGATTATCACTAGACTTGTAGATTTCAATCTCATTTCACCTTGCATGAAAATAATGCCATTTCACTAATTTGTCAATGCATGTGTGAATTCTATTGAATAATGAAACCTTATTGCTTGTAGTTTGAGGCTATCTATCTACATGTCATTTAGATTAAGTTTATAAGAAATGACAATTTTTTGTTGGAATAGAAATCTTGTTTAAATCATGATGTACCATCTTGATTAATCAAAGGCTTTTGAGTCTAATCAACCTCTAACCCTTGAACCACTTGGCATATTGTTGTTTATAATATAATAACCTCCCATTGTTTTACCTATATAGCATTCTTCTCTTTTATCTATCATTGATTCAAACAATTGAATGGATCCTTGAGTAAAAAAATAAATTTGAATTAAATTTTTGCCACAAATATCCCCAAGTAATTTAGTGTTGATGGCAAATATGATATACAAGGTGTAGATATAGCTTAAGGATCTCTTCAACTCATCTGAAACTCTTACTCATTTATACCATGTTTCACTGTAGCATATAACTTGACCAAGGTAACAAATTTAAATGATGTCACATGATTTTCAACAACCTTCTAGGCAGTCATTTTTAGGTGTTGTTTTATGATAAGATACAGGCAACCTCGTTTTGTATAAACAAGGATCATTTTGATTGGTAAATTGAATGACATGAAAATTTTGGATAAAGTGAACCACATTCTAATCTATATTTATTGATAATGGTGCATGGTTTAAATAATGATGACATGACATGACATGCACCTGTATCTTGTGCTGCATACTTACATTTAGTTTAATTTATCAATATAGCAGACAAAGATAATTTTACAAAATAACAAAAGAGTTGTAAAATTCTTCAATATAATGTTTTACTTTGTACTAATGGATTTTTATTGCATCTTGTCACATGATAATATTTCAAAATAACAAAAACAATATGGTTGAACAAAAGTATTGTTGGAAATTCTTTTCTTCATACAAATCAACATTCTTTTCCACAAGAGAAGACAATATAATTGAGTGTGTCAAGACCTCTAGTTCAATTATTTATAAAATTTCCTTTTGTTTATCATCTGTTATAAATCAACTTTTTATTTTATTTTATACAAGCAAGGAAAAAATGATGATATTAGATATTGAGTTAATAGAAAATCGAAAAAAAATAAAGTGATAAAAAACAAAGGATTTACAATAATAATCTTAAGCTAATAAAAAACAAGAGGAAAGATACCATAATAATGCTAGTTTTTACTAATATGATCTTCTCTCAACTGATAGTTAACTAAAAGAATTACATACTGATCTTCTGTTGATAGAAAACTAAATGAGTTAAATGAATTACCATAATAATCTTCTGTTGATAGTAAACTAGATGAATTACCATAATAATCTTCTGTTGATAGTAAACTAAATGAATTACCAGATAGATCTTCTGTTAATAGTAAACTAAATGAATTGCCATACTGATCTTCTGTTGATAGTAATTTAAATGAATTACCATAATGATCTTCTGTTGATAGTAAACTAAATGAATTACCATCATGATCTTCTGTTGATAGTAAACTAAACGAATTACTATAATGATACTCTGTTGATAGTAAACTAAATGAATTACCAGATAGATCTTCTGTTGATAGTAAACTAAATGAATTGCCATACTGATCTTCTGTTGATAATAAACTAAATGAATTACCATAATGATCTTCTGTTGATAGTAAACTAAATGAATTACCATGATTGTTGATAGTGAACTAAATGAATTAGCATAATGATCCTCTGTTAATAGTAAACTAAATGAATTAGCATAATTGTTGATAGTAAACTAACATAATGATCTTCTGTTGATAGTAAACTAAATGAATTACTATAATGATACTCTGTTGATAGTATACTAAATGAATTACCATAATGATCTTCTGTTGATAGTAAACTAAATGAACCGCCATACTGATCTTCTGTTGATAGTAAACTAGATGAATTACCATAATGATCTTCTGTTGATAGTAAACTAAATGAATTACCATGATTGTTGATAGTGAACTAAATGAATTACCATGATTGTTGATAGTGAACTAAATGAATTACCATAATGATCTTCTGTTGATAGTAAACTAAATGAATTACCATGATTGTTGATAGTGAACTAAATGAATTAGCATAATGATCCTCTGTTAATAGTAAACTAAATGAATTAGCATAATTGTTGATAGTAAACTAACATAATGATCTTCTGTTGATAGTAAACTAAATGAATTACTATAATGATACTCTGTTGATAGTATACTAAATGAATTACCATAATGATCTTCTGTTGATAGTAAACTAAATGAATCACCATAATGATATTCTGTTGAAAGTAAACTAGATGAATTACCATAATGATCTTCTGTTGATAGTAAACTAAATGAATTACCATAATGATTTTCTGTTGATAGTAAACTAAATGAATTACCATGATTGTTGATAGTAAACTAAATGAATCACTATAATGATACTCTGTAGATAGTAAACTAAATGAATTACCATAATGATCTTCTGTTGATAGTAAACTAAATGAATTACCATAATGATCTGTTGATAGGAAACTAAATGAATTACCATAATTGTTGATAGTAAACTACCATAAAGATCTTATATTGATAGTAAACTAAATGAATTACCATAATGATACTCTGTTGATAGTAATCTAAATGAATTACCATACTGATACTCTGTTGATAGTAAACTAATTGAATTACCATACTGATCTTCTGTTGATAGTAAACTAAAAGAATTACCATACTGATCTCCTGTTGATAGTAAACTAAAAGAATTACCATCATGATCTTCTGTTGATAGTAAACTAAAAGAATTACCATCATGATCTCCTGTTGATAGTAAACTAAAAGAATTACCATCATGATCTTCTGTTGATAGTAATCTAAATGAATTACCATAATGATCTGTTGATAGTAAACTAAATGAATTACCATAATTGTTGATAGTAAACTACCATGAAGATCTTCTATTGATAGTAAACTAAATGAATTACCATAATGATACTCTGTTGATAGTAAACTAACATAATGATCTTCTGTTGATAGTAATCTAAATGAATTACCATACTGATACTCTGTTGATAGTAAACTAAATGAATTACCATACTGATCTTCTGTTGATAGTAAACTAAAAGAATTACCATCATGATCTTCTGTTGATAGTAAACTAAATGAATTACCATCATGATCTTCTGTTTATAATAAAAAAAACAATTACCATAATTACCTTCTTTTGTCAGTGAACAAAAAGAATTACTATATAAATGATCTTCAGTTGATAGAAAATAAAGAGAAAATTTACCATAATGATATTCTGTTAATATTATACAAGCTGGGGCTTGTTATCACTTATCCAGAACATAAGATAAGATAATGGTAAACAGACCAGGCTTTTATCAGAGATTTTGTGATGCTTTTACAGGATAATAGTCTCAAATCAGATTCTTAGTATTTAATTTGATAAGCTGTCAAGAATTCAAATTTTTGGAACTTGCTGAAAATTTTGCAATAAAAATGTAAATTAACTTGATATTCCTACAAGACTAGGAATCTACATAGTGTTCATAACTAGGCAAATTGATGTCTGGTATATGTCAAACTGTCAATCAGGATAAACAGATACAATAACAACCTACTTGAAATGAATAATCAGAAAGGTTTCATGTTCACAGACATGTATTTCTAATGATGCATTTTAATATGAATGCTAGTTGAATTGTTTGTATGTTAGGTCAGTTTGTTATAACAGGTTTTTATCTTTCACTTGATAAATAATAACCAATTTTTATAAATTGAATATCAAATAATGTCACTAGAAAAATGATAATTTTTTGTTTAATTGATACTTGTTTAGTCAAGAGTGATAACTCCAAAACTGTTAATTAGACATTTGCAAGTCTCCAACTCTATGAGAGCTCACCAATGTATTTATGCACATCAAGGCTGTTCTAAGACTCTAAAGCATTTACAAGCCAATTGTGCATGAACAGACATCTAGTTCAACAGGGATGACAACAATTTATGTGCATTTAATAATTTGTACAAATAAAAATTAAATTGTTTAGATTTATCATATTCATGTGAAAAGTTGATTAGCTGCCACCAAGGTTGTTTGGATTACAGGTTATGTTTTGCTGTTTAGATCTTCACTACTTGGTTTATTTATTCAATATATATAATGGTGAAGACTAAGAATTATAGAGAAGTCTGAGTCAATGAAAGAAGATTATATTTAGGAAACAACATGATAAGGATTAACACCTGGATTGAAACTGATTGGGAGGAGGGGGAGGTGTTTCTGATTTTATATCATTTTCTAAATAGTAGGATTTTTGATAGAGATAAAAGAATATAGAAACCCTAGAATCACACAACTTGTGGCTGTCTAAGATCAAGATTAACGCCCACAGATTTGTTGTCAGCTTCCTGGTAAAATTTCAGATAATTGTAAATATACAACTTCAAGATGTTATTACAGAGACATAGAATGGTTCAATTTATCTGTAAGCTATAAATTTAAATAAATCTTCAATAGGCTTAAAGAGATTGTAAAGTGGTTTTCTAAAATTTTTATGTGTTTCAGACAGTGAGTGATAGCATCAATTTGCACCATTCCAATTTTCAAACAAACATCTGTGGTTCGACGTCACTAATCCCAAAATATACTTGTATCACATATATATAAGTCCCTTCACGATAAGTGACATCATCAAAGATTTAGTTTTAGTTGCAGGAACTACAGACATCTCATTGAAAATTGGAATGGTGTAAATTGATGCTACAGTGTCCCATTTTGAAACTTCCTCAAGAAAATAAAATTCTGATGCCTTTGTTAGAGCTTTCTTCCCATAGTGTCAGCTATCACCCCACTTTTAATCATATCGTGGGTGACCGCTTAAAACCTCGTATATGCCATATTTGGTCATTTTGACTTTTTGGTACCATTCGAAAGCTCGTAAAAGCGCGGATCTTGTGATCAAATCCTCATATTCTTAGCTTGATTGTAAATAACTCAAAAAGCACTAATCAAATAACACGTATATAAACAGTCAGATTTAAAACCTTGTAAAATATATCATTATACAAGGTTCAATGTTCCTTTTCTGTGGATGATCATGAAAAACCATGTATACTGTATTATTATACTAGTTTTTGGTTTAATAGGCCAGAGATCTCGAATTGTTATATGAGATTTATATTTTCCAAGAATGAAAACCACGTATAGCGGTAAAAAAAATAATAAAAAAGATTTTAACAAAATACACGTACAAATAGTTTTTTTCGTTTTTCTCGAAAAGTAATTCCGCGTCAGATATGGTTATATGAGGTTTCAAGTGGTCACCCACGATATGTAACATGATTTCTAATTGGTTAAATATATAACTGATGTAGACGGTACAATGGGGTGATTAATGCTGTTTCAACTTTGTTTGAACTTTTCATAGTCGCAATATTTCTACTGCAAAAGACATTTTGTTGCAATTTTAAATTTTATTGATATAACCATTTTTCAAATAACACAAACATGAAAAAAAAATGCTTTTTTCTGTAAATTTGCCCTTTATTACAGAAGAGCTAATCAAAATAGCAGGAAAGATTATAAAGATCTTACTGAAATATATACAAATTACCTTATTTCGTAGTTCCCGTTCTAAATGAAAATGGAAAGAAAAAATTGCTGGGCCTAAGTTGATAATAATTAATGAGGCACTTTATACAAAATGAGATAATGCAGTAAAATGTTGAATGATAGATAAAACACTCAGAACAGAATTGATAAGACTTATTCTTTACACACTATCATCTTTCAGTAAACAACTGTAGAATAATCACCGAACTAAATTAATAAATTTATCCTACACAGTTTCCATTTCAGTCTATGAATAAACAATAAGAAGAGCAAAAAATAGATTTTCAAACATTAGTCGAAACATCTGTGTTGCAAATTTCATAATCCACATGCTTCCGGTCTTTTTTGTCCTTCTCTTTAGAAACTTCGCTCAATTCATAGTTTTTAGATTCTCTCTGGAGATTTAATCCTTTTAGAGTTTGGTACAGTTCATGTCTGAATGCTTTCGAGAAGATCAACAAAACGAATAAAAGTCCTGCAATGTTTGTTAGTGTTAGGATATCAGTGATGCTCTTGGTCAGTTCTATCTGAGCCAACAATTCCACACTTAACCATTGTATTGGAAAATGAATGTCTATGAGGTTTATAATGGTTGCAGGCATAGTTAAACTAAAAAATAACACAGATACAGCTAGAGCTATGTAATTATGCTGCTCCTGTCCACCATTTCCACGTGTGACTTGATTACAACGGTCCTTTTTTAGGCACAGAGAAATGCTAATACATACATTGAAAATAAAGAGTAATGCCAAAGGCAGATATGAAAAACAAGTGGCAGAAATCCAGGGCCATATTAAGGTATGCAGATCTTTTTGATGGTATGGGATATAGCATCCTTGAGGTTGGAGTTCATATGTCCACATTGTATGAACGCTAATAACCACTAAACCAACAAGTATGAATACCACAATAATTTTAGCTGAAAATACTGTACAGAGAGATAAAGACCTGCTGGGTAAACACAGGTAGACAAATCTATCAATACTCATAGCAACCACTATCCATATACCTCCATACACTATCAGATGCATAATAAATGTCCACAATCCACAGCTCCAATCAGTTAAGGTACTTATACAGGGTTTTTGAAGTATGTAACAAAGCCATGATGTCCCATTCACAACTGCCAAATTTAAAATGTTAAAAACACCATAAACTGCCAAATAAAAACAAACAGAACTTTTTCGAAGACTTCCACGCCGCAGGATAATAATTGCCAAAAGATTTCCAATTACTCCTATACCCACTAATACGGGAGTGAGATAGGTATGAAGCTGTTCGCTCATCCTGTAGTCGTGATGTGCCAGTAATAACTGATAAACTGCCTCGGCACTCTGGTTTTGATCAATACTGCTTGGCTGGCTGTATCTTGGTTCTAATTCACTCACACTTTCACTTCTCAATGTGCTACTGTTATCTTCTGCCATACTTCACGCTAGAAGTAAATCTTGGCCAATCACTTTTACAATTATAAGTTCTGTTATGGTACTTCTGTCATAGTTATTGTTTACCCTTAAAGTTTAAATCTTGGTTTTTAGAAAATCATCTGTTATCTGTGTTCCTGAAAAATAAAAAGGCATTGATCATAGATTAAGATATCCTTTAGAGATTTTAACAGATTACCTCATAAAGAAAGAAAGAAAACGATTCTTTACAAAAATTCCATTTTCAGGAATTAAAATGAAAAAGGTTAGAATAATGAGGTTTAAACTGACATCCATTATTCCCTAAATAGAATTTTCACTCCAATATTTAAAGGAAAACAATAGATAAGAATCTAAAATTGAAAAATTTCATAGAAAATGATTGAGTAGGAGTGAATTCTGTTTCACTTGTAGAATATTTTTTTCTTCAGAATTTACCGTCTTTTGAACTAATATTCTATACCTTTTATAAGATATATATACTATCCCTCTGTCATTGCACTGTATGTGGTGGCTCAAAGCCTTTGAAAATGATACAGATTTAAAATTAAACTATTTAGGACCTTGGTTGAAAGTTTCAACCTTCTATTTGATTTAATTTCTAGCTGCTGTAAAGCTAGTTTTAAAAGACTGATGTGATAATTCTTTTTCTCATTTAAAACATCTACAGTTTTTTTTTTAAGACAGTGGAATCCTTTCACTCTTATACATTTATGTCACTAGTAGGTTTAATCATTTATTTATAAACTTATTTGTTTCAAATATTCAAAGATGCTAGATTTTAGTTATTGCTAGCTGTATCACTCGGTGTTGGATCTATGAATTGAAATATAGAATTTCTAGTTGATCTAGATTTATCCATTGTTATTGTACAAGTCAGGAAATTGAGATGAAATCTGTTGTCAATTCTATTGCCAGTTACTTCTATCGGTTTGTTTTTCTTTAATTGGAGACAAACTAATTGTCAAACATTTGCTTAAAAAGTGTTACAAGAGCTAAATTCATTTTAAATAAATATTAGAATACCAATACATTAACCAACAGATTATCTTTGTAGATATGTAAACTGGTAATAAAAGTATTTCTATTTATTCATATAGTGTGGAAGAATTATTAAACTAGAACTTTACATTTGATTTTTTACCTGAATACATGAATGATTATCAACACACTGTTATGACACTTGAAAAATCATAATACGAATTGAAATTGATTTTTCAAAAATATTTCTGTATATTTATACATATATATGTCAGAAATATCAAAACAGAACCTGAATCATGTTGTTTCTCAGAGTTTCACATGGTTCAAGTTCTGTTTTAGTATTTCTATTTCTATATCACTCTACAATTGATGTATTGAGCACTATTTGAACACTGAGAATTTTTTGTTATTGTATTTATATAAACATGTTCAACAGTTATAAAGTATTCAAAATCAAAGTCTTGAGGAAAGCATTTAGAAATTGTTAATTGCTTGTGGGGGAGGAAAGTGTGCAGGTGATAATATGATCTCATTCCCTATAGTTTTTAACCATCAATTGTGTATATTTCACAATATCCACACTTACAAGTGTTAGTGAAAAAGCAGAATTTCTAATCTCCTATTAATTTATTTTTTCTCCTCAGGTTCACAAGATATAACATAGATTTCATATTGTATGTCATTTTTTTTATTATATATTAGCCTCAAGACATCATTAAAAATCATAATGTCATAAAGAAGAAGATATTTACTTGAAGTCATGCGATCTATGTCTTTTGCCTTTGATTAAATAGATCTAATTATTTACATGTACTTAATCATTATGCAAACTGTCTGGTTTATTTACTGACATTATCTGATATAAAAGTAATTGCATCTGAGTTAGATTTTCCAATATATAAGTATAATTCCTTTGATTTTGATAATACAATTCGCATGATGTAACATCTGATTTAGATCATCCCATACAAAACGTAACCTGAATTGGATTATCCCATACAAAAGTAAATATTTACATTTGAATTGGATTATCCCATACAAAAGTAATAGCATTTGAATTGGATCATCATACACAAAAAGAAAAATTCTGCATCTCAATTGGATCATCATTACAAAAAGTAATTGCATCTGAATTGGATTATCCCATGCATAAAGTAATTGCATCTCAATTGGATCATCCCATACAAAAAGTAACTGTAAAAATTAAATGCATCTGTTTATAGATTAGCCCATATAAAAAGTAATTTTAGGAATAAAATACAAAAAGTAATTTAATCTGATGTAGATGATACCATACAAAGAGTAATTACATCTTATTTTGATGTATAATATATATAAGTAATTACTATTAAAGGTTAAAGAAGATTTCATATCTTTTTGTCTGGTATATCACATTCTAAGATCTGCTTAGTGTCAAATATAGATATTGAACTCATAAAACATAAATAGTAGACACATAAATATCATTCTACAATTACTGTGTTTATGGCTCTATATACTATCATAGATAATGTCTGATTATTCTTTTAAATTAGACAGATTAGTAGTTTAATTAAAAAAGTGCTATGATCAAAATTTATTGGGGTCAACTTTGTGTATAATTTGTTTCAACCATATTTATACGCCCACATGAATATGTGGTCGTATATTGTCGTTGCCCCTGTCCGTCAGTCAACATTTCTTGTGAGCAATATAGAGACTACAGTTTCCATCCGATTCTGATGAAACTTGGTGTGATCATTGGAATTCATAAGATCTCGGACAAGTTCTAACTTGACGCTTTTTCGATAAACGGTTTTTGAGTTATTGCCCTTGAGTTTGTTAAAACGCTTCGAAATTTTTAAAAAATAGTTCGTGAGCAGGATTGAAGCTACAGTTTTCAACCGATTCTGATGAAATTTGATGTGATCATTGGAATTGATAAGATCTGGGACAAGTTCAAACTTGACGCATATGCAATGAATGGTTTTTGAGTTATTGCCCTTAACTTTGTTAAAACGCTTCGAAATTTGTTAAAAATAGTTCGTGAGCACAATAGAAGCTACAGTTTTCAACCGATTCTGATGAAACTTGGTGTAATCATTGAAATTGATAAGATCTCGGACAAGTTTTAACTTGACGCATTTTCACTTAACAGAATTTGAGTTACTGCCCTTGAATTTGTAAAACGCATCAAAATGTGTTTGTGAGCACTATAGAAGCTACAGTTTTCAACCAAATTTGATCAAACTTGTTATGATCATTGGAATTGATAAGATCTCGGACAAGTTCTAATTTAAGGCATTTTCAATGAACGCTTCCGGAGTTATTGCCCTTGACGTTGTAAAACGCTTCAAAATTTGTTTGTGAGGACAATAGAAGCTACAGCCGATTTTGATGAAAATTGGTGTGATCAATGGAATTTATAAGATCTCGGCCAAGTTCTAACTTGACGCATTTTCGATGCACGGTTTTTGAATTATTGTCCTTGACTTATGAAAAACGTGTCAAAATTTGTTTGTGAGCACAATAGACGCTACAGTTTTCAACCGATTTTGATGAAACTTGGTGTGATCATTGGAATTGATAAGATCTCGGACAAGTTCTAACTTGAGATATTTTTGATGAACTTTTTTTGAGTTATTACCCTTGACTTTGTAAACACGCGTCAATAGTTGTTTTTTGCCCTCGATTAGAGCTGTGTGATTTAATTGTTTGTTGTATTTGGGTTATTGATATTGATTTTAAAAAATTTTGTGGAATCACTCAGCATAGATAACTGGCATATATATATGTAATTGTATTCAAACTAATAAAATTTCTTCAATATGAGAAAATTCGTACTTTAGTCACTAAAGACTGTTTTATCATTTCTGACAGCTGCGAGTGGGCGTATGTTACCTTGCCTCGCAAGCTATCTTTAGGTGGATGCAGTGATATCTCTCAAGTACCTAAACTTCTGGGGTGTTCTGAATGAGATCTTGTACCTTGTGGTATTTTAAGTCAGCTTATTTTTAGCGTTTTCCCAGTTCAAATATTGTGTTAAAAAACAAGCAAACTTGCATTATATATGTAGGAAAATGAGATCAGTTTTGTATTGGAAACTCAGGATTTTTTGTAAGGAGAAGGTTAACCTGATTTTTGCTTCGGACAAATAAATTCCATGGAAAATGGAAGTAGACCTGGTAGTTCCTGCAAATGTATGAAAAATGGGTGAATAAATCACAGTTATGATAAACTTTGAAAAAAAGAATTCTGTATCTTTGGAAATTTTACATGTTTCTTTCTTTGTAAATGAAAGCACAATGATCAAAACTTGTACCATTGCATACAAGAATTCCCTAATATTTCTAATTTAAACCTTTAAGCAAACTTTCATCCTGTTCCAAATAGTTTAACCAGTTTGGGGTATATAAGAATAAATACCTTCTATCATTTTATAACCTGTGAATAATAGTGGCAGATATAATTGATATTGAGTTCTTTTATAGCATGAACTTTTAAAAGCCAGACTTTATTTACAGGTTGTCAGGAAATTACTTAAAATTCTATATAAAATAATGAAAAATATCATGCAAGTTATTTTCTTATGGTATACAATATGTCTTTTTATTTAATTTTTTTTAAACGTGTCTAATTCTCTTTAAAACCGATAAAACAAAATGGTTATTGGTTTTTTGATGCCTGATAAGTGGTAAGATTTTACAAAATATTAGATCATATGATAGCAGAACCATAAGATTGTAAGAAGAGTAGTTGACATTTACATCAATAGAATGATAATTTCCAAATTCACTCTGGATTTCAATCTTAGGGTGTCTCACACCATGATTATTACCAGTTGCTTATGATTGCAAATAATTGACCAGTTCCGAACGCAACTCACAACTAAGTTAGATAAGAGTTGTGTTTGAAGCTTATGACTGCTATTATTATTTGCAACCATACCTGACTGGTGATTGCTGTTCTGTGAGTGTTAATTAAAGTTCAAATTTTAACAGAATTCCAAATTTCTTTGTTATAACTACAAGAATTTGTTA